ACTCAGACGTGCTAGGAGTCTATACTATATACTATTTCAATGGCAAAGCATTTTTATTCAAGTCTGAAATATTTAGGTAAAACATTCTATCACGCGACCAACAAAAATCAAGACGTCTGAATTTTTCAACGGCGTTCCGTGAAGTCACAATGATACTAACTATGAAGTATGCAAATTTGTTGACGGAAGCCAAAAAACATACCTAATTACAGCTTGCTTCTGGGTTGCGTAATYATGAAAATTGGTCTCGCGTAGAACAAAATAATGTTTTTTGAAGACGACCAACACACACTAGAGGACATTGCCTCTGAAGTATGTCTCTACTACATGTCCCTGATGTGTCCTGGCCCCTTTTAAAGTGAATAAAAATTAAATATTTCTAGGAAATGTCCTCAGGYTTTGTGCTGTAAAGAATTATCATTAGGTTTCTGCCACTCTTTCTCATTAAAATGGATTTGATTTTCGTAGTCATGGTGACAGATCATTAAACAAATCATGTAGATGTGTTCTAGGTGTTTTAGCCTTGTCAGAAGAATTTTTTTCACAAGAACGATTTTCTTGTTTGCTTGTTGGTTCGTTTGGTCTGTCCGTCTGTCCGCTCCCGCCCTGGTAAGTCAGTAAGTCTGTCTGTCTATTTTTCTCTTGTTTCTTGCAGTGCTTAAAAATAAATAGCAAATAGCTTCCACTGTAAACCAATCAAAAACAAGAACACTCACACCATACAATCACAACACTTCATTATAGAAGCCATTCGAAAGTCCGCACGGTTTTTTCCTTCTGCAAAATCTGCTTTAACGACTTCCAAAGTAGAATATTTTGTATATATTATTGCTAAGACTATTTTTCGAATCATTTTGCATTTTTTCCCTTTCTGTTGACTTTCCTTAGACTTCTTAGCAAAACCAACAGTAACACACGTCATCTCGAAGAACGTTCAATTTATCCTGCTTTAACTTACGTATTTAACTATTTAAACTTAACTCTACCAATATTATACAACATTAGACAATTAGAGTATCCATAACAGAAAGAAAGCTAAACAAATCAATCCAATTCTTCTTGTTTTGTTTTTTAAGTAAACTCAGCATTCACGTTCGGTGAGAATTTTTCAAAAAAGACAAAGTCCTTTCTTCGTTTACGTGACCAAATGGCGATCAAATGTCYGATTTAACTTTCTGATGGAACACTGACAGCTCATTACAAGCGACGTAAAAGTAAAAGTTTAAGTCGTCGTGTTTACTGACTGATAGTCGTAACTGTTTCCGTGGTCAAGTGATAGATGAAAACTATCACCATCACTTCACTACTGACCTAAGATTTGTTTGTTTTATCAAAAGATAAAAAATAAACTAAACTAAAATTAATACCGATAGAAATGCTGGTTGTATTTTTTTTTTCAGTTTCAAAATCTCTGTTTTTCATTTTTCTAGAGTAAAATTTCTTTGTGAAAGACTACAGTCTTCTCGACTGAATTTCTTTTTCGTTATTAAGAATATATAACTAGCTAAAAACTAGTGTGAGCTGCGTCGGTGTTTCTAATGAAACAGTAATGATGAAAAGGTAAA